CAACCTCGCGCGCGTTGCGTGGTGTCTGCGCCTGCCAGGCGGCTGTCCGTCGTGGTGATTGTACTGGCGTCTGCACCACTACATCAAGCTTAGATAGCACAGCCTGTGGGTCATGTGGGACTAGACCAGCGCCTCTAAAGCTAGCTTGGATATTCTCCTTTGTAATAGACTGCTCAAAAGCAGCCTTAAAGGCTGGTAGGAAGGTCTCCTTGCTGATATAGTGGGTGCGGTTGCGTGCCAAGCCTGAAACAGCGTCGCCATACTTGCGCTTTAATGGCGAGAAGCAGGCGATGTCAAGGGGCTGCAACAGGTGAGACGAGTGTGGAGGCATGCAGAGAAGAATAATATTCTTCTCCTTGCAAAGATCTTGAAATTCGATGGAGCAGTGGCTCTCATGGCCGTCAATAATAAGTAGTCGATACCCACCCACAGTAGAGCTCTTTGTATGGGTATTAAAGTGCTCTAACTAGGCAAGACCAAGCTAATTATTCGTCTAGCCATTGGGACTGACTTTAAGAACCTAGTTAGCAGGCAAATTCTTAAACTAGACGTTGATAAGCACCTTGCCCGCAAAGACAACGAACAGTGGTATCTAGCGACCCAACGCGCCCACGCCTTGGATCACAGTAACCCACTCACGGTTGCCTGGCTGTATCCGCTTCTTTTTTCTATATCCTTCTAATGCTGTGATTAATAACTATAATAAAATCTTGCCTATCATAAAGCTAGTTTTGTCAAAGTTGTAGATATCGTCGTCCACAATACCCCACTTCTGCCTTGTCGCCTGGACTAAGTCAAACCAGCGCTGGATAGCCACTGGGTCCTCGCAGGCGGCTCGCTAGTGATCATAGGGACGGCTCTAGCGCGTACGGAGCTCAGCAGTCCGCCTAACAAAGTTGTCAACCCAATTCTTGCCAATAGGGTTGCCACCACGCTCCTCTAACAGTTTATTGGCCATTGCTCGAACCTCAGCCTTTATAGGGGCAAATCCACGCGCAGACTCTTCAAAAATACGTTCAATAATAGCCTCCTCTTCTAACTTATTTAGGCGCTTTAAATTCGGTTCACAGTCACGTTAGGGGCGCTTTCTAGCCTGTTGATCAGATATTGTACTTTGAGGCACGTTATAGATAGAGGCAGCGCGTCTTTAGCTTTAAACACGTTGTAATTAGATATTAAAAAGAGCAAGTTAAAGATCTGATTTAGGATAAGTTAATTAATAGTTGTGTTGTTAAGACATAACGCGTTGTAGTATCAACGTCGACGCGCTGGTGGGGAGTGACCGACTCGCTTGGGTGACCGACTCGCTTATGAACCACGTTATATAAAAGAATCTTTAGTAGTTACTTATAAGTAACGCTTAAAGACTAAGCTTTAGTAAAAGAAAAAATAATATTAAGTATAGCTAATAATATATAATATTCTATATAGAGAATTGATAAAACGCTAATTACTTATACTGTTTTAGTTATTGTGGCCTAGCGGCATAGGGCTGAGTCACTAACACTAGCTTTTTTGGCTTCTCTGAATTTTCTGGCTTCTCCGGCTTTTCTGGCTTTTCTGGCTGTTCTGGCTGTAAGTACTAACGTTCTGGCTTCTCTGGCTTCTCTGGCTTTTCTGGCTGTTCTGGCTGTTCTAGCTGTAACTACTAACGTACTGGCTTCTCTGGCTGTTCTGGCGTTCGTCATGTGACGAGAGCTTGGCGAGACTAACCTAAGACGGTGATTCCTAACATCTTAGCACCCCTTTAATAAATAGCAGCAGAGCTTCTTAGAGCTAATAAGAAACAATTCTACTAACAAAGTTTTGCATTTTAAGCCCCTAACGTGCAGGGTCAGTAAGCTGGGCAGATTAGTAAGCTGGGCACCCCACCAAACTTCGCGCGACGTTCTGCGCAATTAAGCTACAACAACATATTAAAATAATATAAAATTAAGATATATAGTTTACTATTTAGCTCTATATAAAGTCTAAGTATATCCTTTAACGTTATACTTCGTGCACGTTAGCAGCGCGCGCTAACGTTACTTACTAGCCTAGTTCTGGCTACCCTCTATAAGTAACCTTTCTACCTCTGCTATAAGCTGCTAAGCCTACTACACCTAGAGTACCCTACTAGAAGCAATATATTAACGCTATTAATCTTGCTTTTGCTGCTAACGCTAGTTCTTTTTACTTAGCTTCTTATTCTCTTTTATAAGTATTGTTACTAATTATATTACAAGCTAAGCGCTCTTAGTAAGCTAGCGTATTGCAACGCTTATTAGACTCTCTAGCTGCTAGCGCAGTCGCTCTTGGAGATACCGCACCTGCTGCTAAAGCTCTGCTACTGTATGTGGTGTCTCTATCTGCATTGATGCCTGCGCTGTAGTGTTATTATCTATGGTTGTTTGTGGTGGAGATGGTGTTCTAGCTACTGTAAGCGACGATAGAACGCGATCTAGATAAGGAGGGACAAGCCCTATCGCCTGAAAGCCTGCCTGGATATTCTGCTGCGTAAAAATCTTTAGCTAGATCCGTGTATAGGCTGCAAGGAAGTCTATCTTATTAACGTAGTAGACCTTATGCCAGGCGAGCTCCTTAACCTCGCGTCCGTACGCGCGCTTAAGAGGAGAGTAGCAGCTCACATCTAGAGGCTAGAGGAGGTGCGACGTGTAAGGCGGCATATAGAGAGTGATAATCTTATTCTTAGTGCAGTACTAGTCGAACTCTGGCGTTGCGTGGCTACTATGACCGTCTAAAATAAGCAGCTAATAGACTCTAGCTGTACGAGCCGTTGTATGCTAGTTGAAGTGCTTTACCCACTCTACGCCAAGCTGATTAGTCGTCCAGCCGTTGTCTGAGGTGCCGATAGTCTAGTCTGGTGGGAGATTGTGATACTAGCTGCTCTGGTGAACCTTGCTAGATAGTATCACGAACGGTGGCAGAGACCAGCTAGACGCGTTAACGCACTTAATTACTGTAACCTACTCTTAATTGCCTAGCTATACAACAACTGCCTAACTAACTCTATTAAAGCTAGTTACGACTTTTAACGTGCTAGCGACGCCTATTGCGAACCTAGTCTTGTCAAAGTTATAGATATCCTAGTCTAGCACGCCGTACGTCTAGCGCGTCTCCTCTACTAACTTAAACCACGCTACGATTGTAGCAGGATCTTCGTACTAGGCACGCTAGCTGTTAAGCCTTCTACTCCACTTTGTCTAAAGCTCTAGCTGGCTCTAGATAAAGCGCGACACCCATTTCTTGCCTACAGGTTGTGGAGGTGGATCTTGGCCACGCGCGGCAAGTAACGCGTCTGCCATCCGTCGTACGTCAATAATATAGGGTAGAAAACCACAACAGTTAAGGTCTAGGATCCACTATATAAAGGACTGCTCTTTAATAGACAATAGCTTATAGTTAATAGACTATAGCTCTAGTCGTGGCTAAGTACTATAAACGCAAGTATGTAGTGTTAATTGTGGCACATTATATGCTTTTGCAAAAGCACAGATAGATTGTTTTAGATTATTACAATAAGACGCGATAGCAAGGCTTATTCTGCCTTCACGAGAAGTATGTATAGAACGTTGTTGTCGCGGCATGGTGGTGGTTGTGTAGAGCGTCGCGTCAAGTTTGGTGGGGTGCCCAGCTTACTGATCTGCCCAGCTTACTGACCCTGCACGTTATAGGAAAACGATAACTAAGCTAACACGTGACTGATTTTAATATGCAGCTAAAGCTGCAATAACAAATTATTGGTAGGTTGTATAACCGCCGCCCTAACCAAGGTTTCAACTCTATTGTTTTTCTCGTATTCATTTTACTGGGCTGTGTGTATTTGTCGAGTGCTTTCGTCTAAGTAGTATGCCAGGGGTGTGGGCCACGTTAGGGCAAAGGTAGTATATAATTGTGATAGCTACAATACAGGTGTAGGCCACATTAGGGCAAAGGTAGTATAATAGCTTGCTAGGGGTGTGGGCCACTGCTTTATTGTTTAGGCATTGTAGATACGGTACGGATAAATGTTATCCTAGTCTAAATGTCTGTGCGCAGCGTTGTTCTTAAGCGCACGGATAGAAAACAACAGCTTTACCCCCCTTTGCAGCTATAACAAAGTCTATATAGCTATTTTAAGTTAAAAATAAGTTATAGGACGTTTTAAGGTTTCTTTTCATGTAGGTTTTAGGCTGTGCAGGCTAGTAGGTGGCGAGTTCGTTTCGTTCTTTTATTAATCTAGAAGATAATGTAACGGGCTGAACGCCCTTTGGATAGCTCCTCGATGGAATCTCGGTCAAGCAGCAGACGCCAGGTCTTACTCTGCAACCCGGCATCTGTGCGAGGCCTGAGCGGCGCCCAGACGACGCGCTCAGACACTCGGTGCAACCTTTCTCCGACAAGTAAATAAACACCACGCAAGTAGACTCTATAGCTCTCTATCGAATACAACCTCTTGTATACCTCGCGATTGCTCCCCGGAGCGCAGCCCCTTACAGATAAGAAGAAAGATAGAAGATAGAAGATAGAAGATAGAAGATAGAAGATAGAAGATAGAAGATAGAAGATAGAAGATAGAAGATATAGAAGATAGATAGATAGATAATAATAAGATAATATAGATGGCACCAAACAAGCGGATAGGTGTAGCCAATGCAAGAATTACCACAAACACGATATGCACGTCCCGTCTAGACGGTCGATGTATGCAAGCATGAAAAATTCAGCCTTTGACCTTGCTCTGATTTTTTTAATGCCCTTGTCTCCCGTTACCTTTTTTCACGGGTTTTTTCCTTCGCATGTGCAGCGGCTGGCCAATGAGCGTCTGGCCGTATGTACAGTCACGCCGACGCTCGGTGATGACGCAACGCTCTTTATTTTCGACTCATTTCATATGCAACCAGACAGACCAGGCGGTTGCTAGGCTAATACTTGAAGGCCCAGCACCGGAACTAGCCACACTGCCGAGACCGGAAATACCCCTCTGCATCCCAAGAATATCCTAGGGCCTCGACTCTTGTAGCCTCCACCCCTCACCATGGGGGCGTCGCAATCCTCTCAAGGCGAGGACGCGCCTGCAGGCGGCCAGGTCAAGACGAGCTACTATGAGCTGTTGGGCGTCGAGCGCAATGCTACCCAGGACGAGTGCGTACCTGCGGCCCCGTGCATACTCGCCTGCTAATCGCCTGCAGGCTCAAGAAAGCATATCGCAAGAAAGCACTGGAACTGCACCCCGACCGCAACTATGGCGATGTCGAACGCACAACCGCTCTGTTCGCCGAGGTGCGGGCCGCTTACGAAGTACTCTCAGACGACCAGGAGCGAGCATGGTACGACGCACACGAGGGTAGCATACTGCGGGGAGGCACTGGCGAGGAAGATGGAGGCGAACACTACCAGGGCAACATGCGCGTCACGACAGCAGATGACCTGGCCCGCATGATGGGCAAGTTCAGAGGAAACGTCGACTTTTCCGACTCACCCAACGGCTTCTTTGGCTTTGTCAGAGAGACATTCGAGCAGCTTGCGCGCGAGGAAGAGTACGCAGCAGACTTTGACGACATCGACATACCCAACTACCCCTCGTTTGGCCACAAAGACGACACTTATCATGGCGTTGTGCGCGACTTTTATGCCGTCTGGAATGGATTCGCTACAGCAAAGAGCTTCGCATGGTTGGACATGTACCAATTATCCCACGCCCCTGATCGCCGTACCCGCAGGCTCATGGAGAAGGAGAACCAAAAGCTCCGTGATGATGGCCGGCGCGAGTTCAACGATGCCGTGAGGACGCTGGTTGCCTTTGTACGCAAGCGAGATCCGCGATACAAACCCAACAACCAGTCAGACGAGGCCAAGGCCAAGGCACAACGGGACGCACGAAAGGCCCAGGCTGCACGAGCGCGTGCTGCACAGATTGCCAAGATGGAGGAAGAGGCGCAGGCAGTTCCGGATTGGGCTACGGCACGTCCGGATGATGAGCTCGACGAGGAAAGTGAGGAAGAAATTGAAGAGGAGCATTACGAGTGCGTCGCCTGTAACAAAACTTTTAAGAGTGAGCGGCAGTACGACGCTCATGAAAAGAGCAAGAAGCACCAAAAGGCGATACAGGCGCTGAAAAGAAAGATGCAAAAAGACAATGCCAATCTTGATCTAGACAACGACGCCCTCGAAGAAGATGTGGTGGTGCCAGCGAGCAACGATGCTGAGATGGATACTGAAAAGGGGGCTTTGAATGGTACACATGATTCTGTTGCTGATCTCGCAGAAGAGACGGATCAACTCAAAGTCGACGACACGGCGGACGAAGATGGCGATTCAGGAGAAAGTGTCTCTGGGAATAAGGTCACTGAGAAGAAAGCCAGCTCCAACACCACATCAGAAGACGACGGCGATGACGACGACGAATACGCCTCACGCTCTGAAATCGAAGCCCGCCTCGCCGGCCTGAGTGGTACCAAACCCTCGGCGGCACCCACGGACGAGCTCGACACCAACGCCGCAGAAGCCGAAGGCCCAGCCGCCCCACAACCCAAGATGGGCAAGGCAGCCCAGAAGCGCGCAAAGAAAGCAGCCAAACAAACTGAAGCAGAGACTCCAGACGCGAAGCTCAAATGCGCCGGTTGCAGCGCTGGCTTTCCGTCCAAAACCCAACTTCACCAGCACTTGAAAGACCATCCCAAGCATGCAGCGCTGAAATCGGTAGCGACGCCTGGGAAAAAGGGGAAGAAGCGGTAGATGGTCTTTCTGGATATGGCAGCATGACGTTTACTTTGAGGGTTCTCTTTTGTGATTTGCATTGCATCAAGGCAGGGAGGGTGAAAGTGGTTGAGCATGGTTGAGCATAGCGTGGGCGTTGTTATTGTCGGTTTGTAGAAAAAGTGTATTATTTTCCAACGTGTTTGTGTCATGGAACAAGTGTATCAGACAGAGTTTTTTTCTCCGAGTACTCTTCGGTTAGGTTAGGCTGGGTCGTCAGAGAGAAAGAGAGGAAGAAGAGGTGAGGTTGTTTTACTTGTTCTTACATGTCCACCTTGGCATATGCATATGCATGTGTAAGCTTTTTTTTTCTTTCGTTTTCCGCCGTTACCACCCGTTTTTTCTTTCTTTGCTTCTTGCTTGCTTGCTTGCTTGCTTGCTTGTGCTGTACTAGCTGCATAGTATAGTAAAGTCAGAGAAACGAGCATTCTAGATGTTTGGTAGTATCAGTCCAATCACATGCGTGTGTGTTCAGCAGAGCTAGCGCCGTGTAGTAAGTAAGCCCAATCATGTGCATGTTTGCTTGGAGTTTGTTGTATGCATACGGTAGTCATCAACTGCAGATGACATGATTGTCATACACCTTCCCTCCCTCTCTCTCTCTCTCTCTGCTCTCGCAAAGTAAAAGCCATTTTTTTATACTTTACTGAATCCAGGGCCTGTGTACTTGCCAATAACTACACAACTCATTCCGCAACGCGTGTTCCATGCACTAATCTCAAAATAGGGCCATATTCTCGCGATCTCGAGGAAAAGTCTTGCCCGTGCGTGCAGGTACAGGTGCAGGGGCGGGTGGGTGAGCGCTGATTCTGCGTCAGCCCGGGTGAGAAAAAAAGTGTGTTTCATAATATCCCAGACAGGCGGAAACTTTGTCTTTTTTTTTCCTGCGTCCTGTTTTTGACACATCTTTATTGTTTGGTGAGGTTTATTTGGGGGGATTTTTGCTTTTTTGGGGGGAGAGGCGGGACATGGATGATGGTCTTACTCTTACGGAGGTGACTGTCAAAAGTTCTTGCTAGCGCCACGCTAAGCCGCTAGCCTATTAGTCTAACTACTCTTAGCGCCTATACTAATTTCTTAAAGCTAGCTATAGCTTATATACTTATTTTTTTTACTTATTTTTAATCTACTTAAGCTCTAAATATAAATATATTAACTTACTTTTTTATTATTATATTAAAGTTACCTTTTAGTAGCAAATCTATACGTGAAATTATAAAAATAATAAGTAAATTACTAAATATAATTAACTTAATTTATAGTAAAGCCTACTAGTAAGGCTTTAAGCCTAACGTACGCCTAATTAAGATCTTTTTATAGTACTTTAAAGATACTCTATATATAGGCTACTCTTATAGATAAAAAAAATATATAACGCTACTTTTAAGAATATATACTATAATAAGTATAAAAAAAGCTACGCTAATATTACTAGTAATTTTAGTGTTTATAGCTATAAAGTCTTATTATCTACTATACAAAAAGTTTTTTAAATAGCTAGTTATAATAAAATAAGGCTAATAAGAAAGCCTAAGTTAATAATGGAAATAAAATAAAAAAGACTTAAGTAGTATTTTACTTATAATAATCAAATACTTAAAGATCAGAAAAATATTATTTAGTTGAATAAGACTTTTATTATTGTTGACTACTATCACAGTAACTATTATATATAGCAACGCTTGAGTAAAGTCTTGACTAAAAGCACTATCTAAAAGTAATAAAAAAGCTACTTTAAATTTATAATCTAAGGCTACTTTATATATGTAACGGCGCAGGTAAGGCAGGTCGGATCTGTTTCGGTCGTAGGATCACTCAGAGGCATATGGGAGTGCGTGGGATCACAAAGAGCCTAGATTCAACAAGCCACCTATAGGCCTTGTACGAAAGGA